AAGGGTTTGAGGCGAAAATCGCGCATCCTTTGGTCTTTCCAAGAATCTTCTCTTTCCAATAGAAGAAAAAGTCTGACTGAGCTTTATTATTCTGGTATGAGGTCTGTTGTGCAGTAACACACCTGAAGAGTGTTGACCTGTTGCAGAAGCTCTGTGTTCTCAAGCTCTCTGTCGGCAGCCATCTGCATCTGTGCCAAAGCGTTCTCTTTTGCCTGTCTTTCTTTCTGCAGCTCCGCCTGCAGTGCAGAGTGCTCCATCTGTAAATGTGGAAGCCACTTCAATGTTAAAATTTAAAAGGCTGTTTTGTAAAATGTTTCTTAAGCACCAAATCAGCATATTAGAATGATTACTGAAGGATCACATGACACTGAAGACTGGAGTAATGGCTGAAGAAGAAAACAGTTGTTTTAAATTGTAATAATATTTCACAATATTACTGTTTTACAGTATTTTTAATCAATTTTTATCAGCTATGGTGAGCATAAGAATCTAAGATTTTGAATGGTAGTGTACGTTTAATGAGCAAGCTGTTTTTCCAAAATGAATGCAAACTGATGTTTTCTCATAATACACATGAAAGAATGTGAAAAGATCCGAAGACAAGATTTTCAGTGAACAGTGATGGAAATTTCAGCTTGTTGTTGAAGGATATTTTAAGAAAAGATGGATAAGGACATATAAAGAATCTTTGAAATATATTGCACGAGTCGTTCTGAGAGTCATTCCTTTATGGAGCTTGACAGGCACTAGTCACAGTCTAATCTATTTGAATGGAAATGGCCTATGTGAATATACAACCTAACATTTTGTGAAATGTAAAAAAGTTTGGAGAAACTTGAGTAGAATTTTTATTTTCAGGTGAACTATGCCTTTACAAAAAAGGCATTATATTATGCACAAATATGAAAAACAAATCTATGAACCCATTTCTTACTTGACTGAGTTGACGCAGTCTGCCCAGCTCCTCCTTCAGTTGTGTGGCCTCAGTATCTCTCTCCTGTAGTTGTGTTTCCAGCTCTGCCTCATATTCACTGACCTGCCCCTGAGCCTGTTTCAGCTCTTCATTCTCCTTCCTCAGATCCTCCAACACCTGCTGTTGAAACTGAAGCTCCTATAACACAACAAACAATGTGATCATGCTGATTTGACTTATTACAGAGTGGTGTATTAAAAATGTTGCTCTGTTATGTCAGAAACAGACTCCAACCTCCTGTGCGCTTTTAGCACTCAGAGCTTCTTTCTCCAGCTGTGTGCACTGCAGCTCCTTCTCACACAGGAAGCGTTGCAGAGCATCTTTCTCTCTCTGCAGACGACTGCAATCTAACTGGGCTCTTCGTGCTTGGTCCTTCACCCCCTGCAGATACTCCTGGAGACCTGAGATGATGCCCTCCAGGTCACGCTTGAGTGCTTCATTAGCAGCGATCTGACCTGAAAGAGTGGAGATGGTTTCTTTTAGCTTATTTGATGATTTTTTAAATATTGTATTCATCCATAAAATTACAACAGATCAAATGCTACCTTTATCTAATGAAGGTTAAAAACAACATTTCAAAAAAGGTCCTCACCATCAGTAAGCTGTTGCTCTAATTCTTTGATCTCCTGTGTCTCCTTGTGGATGCGTGTGATCATGTCATCCAGCCTGCTCTCCAGTTCCTGGTGCTTTCTGCTCATGATGGCCAGCAGCTGCGTCTTCTTGGACAGCTGAGCCTTCACGTGGTCCTGCAGGAGTGATGGCAGAGAGAGTTGGGTTAGAGTGCAATTACATGATCAATTCTGCTGGTTTGTGTCTCCAAGGCACCACTTTTTCGAATACAATATTCTCCAAACTAAGCTGATATGTATCTACTTTTGTTGTAATAAAAATAAATAAATTCAAAAATATAATGTCAGTTTAATAGCGTCTTTTATTATTGTTGTTTTATTATTTTATTATTGTTTAATATTATTATCTTTATTTTTAGTGGGTTTTATTTTTATTGAGACTGTTATTATAACTACATTTAAATAATTTAAGATTTATTGCAACCCAACTGCAAGTAACATATTGAATTTAAAGTGAAATTTTAAGTGGACATACATTTGGATAGTATTTTCTTCTACAACAATCGCTTTGTTTTATTTACACTATAGTCTTTTGTTGTTGTTGTAATTTTACTCACAACTTTGAAAATGTATTTTTTACAGTGTTCTATCCACCCAAAATAGTAAACAAAACAGTATGCGAATTGGGTGCATTTGTTACTTCTCAACCATTGACTTCCTCTTCCCTCCCAATATATATTATCTCAAAGTGAAAATGTTACATTTTAATTAAACATTATTTTAAACAATGCCTTGTTCACAGGAAAGTTTGCTTTAAAACTTAAATCCAACACTATCTATAATTAAAGAGTACAAATGTACTCAGATTTATCTAGTGGTGTACTGATTTAATACTGTGCCTTGTTTTTGTCCACGGCTGTCATAAAATATGCAAGCCAGCAAACTCTGATGACATAATGCCTTTGCAATTTCCTGTTATAAACACTGAAAATATACAACATTCATGAAACATTATAACGTAAAGGATCAACTTTAAAAAACGAAATAATGTTCAATGATGTTAGACACCAATAATCACTTCTACAAACAACATTACAAGCCCCAAATTACAACAGTATGACCGCAACCTCCCATGAGCCCCTCCTAAACCCCAGTGGGGTACTTACTACAGCGGTGTGGCTCCCATCTCTTCGCTTTCTGTCTCTATATGTCCATTTTTCTCCTGTTGCTGCCCCACGAGGAGTAACAGGGGCTCCTTGTGCAGAAAGAGAACATTTCCTGTCTCTTTTAGCTCTGTTACGCTAAAATTCATAGCTTTTCTTCCATGGACTCCAACTATCTCTAAAAGCAGCCCCCTCCTCCTCTATCTCTGCACTCTTTCCACCCTCCTCTCAACTCTCTTTGAATCAACACAGGAAACTTTCGGCAGCCTCAGCCAATCAGTGTCTGTGTCTGGTGGGAGTAGGCTCCACCCACAGCATCAACAGATTTCCCAGGACAGAAGTTCTCTCTTCTTTCTTAAAGAGACAAGAGCCTCATTTTATATGCCTGCAAGTCGTTGCTGAGCATCATGGGTTAGTGATGATTAATTCCGTAGAGAACCTAATCTTATTATACACCTTTGTTGTTAGGGAGGTTCCACAACACATCAGTTGTTTTGCACACATTTTGTCCTACACTGTTTGTATGCCAAACATTTTCTTTAACAGAAAACTGGAAGACATGCACTTTGTTGTTATAAAACATAAATAAACTAAGGATCTAACATCTGAATAGTTCTGAGGCTTACGGCAAAAACACAACATACACAGACAATAAACCATTTTATACTCATGGAAATTACCAACTATCTCTAAAAGCAGCCCCCTCCTCCTCTATCTCTGCACTCTTTCCACCCTCCTCTCAACTCTCTTTGAATCAACACAGGAAACTTTCGGCAGCCTCAGCCAATCAGTGTCTGTGTCTGGTGGGAGTAGGCTCCACCCACAGCATCAACAGATTTCCCAGGACAGAAGTTCTCTCTTCTTTCTTAAAGAGACAAGAGCCTCATTTTATATGCCTGCAAGTCGTTGCTGAGCATCATGGGTTAGTGATGATTAATTCCGTAGAGAACCTAATCTTATTATACACCTTTGTTGTTAGGGAGGTTCCACAACACATCAGTTGTTTTGCACTCATTTTGTCCTACACTGTTTGTATGCCAAACATTTTCTTTAACAGAAAACTGGAAGACATGCACTTTGTTGTTATAAAACATAAATAAACTAAGGATCTAACATCTGAATAGTTCTGAGGCTTACGGCAAAAACACAACATACACAGACAATAAACCATTTTATACTCATGGAAATTATTTTTTTGTGGCATTTGCAGATGTTGCCGAAGGCATAGCGCGAACCTTTAAGAGTGATCACGCATGGGTGTAAACAGTAACATGTTGCAGAAATATGTAATATGTAAATATGTTATTTCTGTAGGGCACAGGTTCTTGCCTATATCTATTAATATGTGACCCTAAACCAGTCATAAGGGTCAAATTTTTGAATACATAAGATTTCCATTAATGTATGGTTTGTTAGGAAAGGACAATATTTGGCCAAGATATAACTATTTGAAAATCTGGAATCTGAGGGTGCAAAAAAATCTAAATATTGAGAAAATCACCTTTAAAGATGTCCAAATGAAGTTCTTAGCAATGCACATTACTAATCAAAAATTAAGTTTTGATATATTTACGGTAGGACATTTACAAAATATCTTCATGGAACATGATCTTTACTTTATATCCTAATGCTTTTTGGCATAAAAGAAAAATTGATAATTTTGACACGTACAATATTTTTTTTTGGCTATTGCTACAAATATACCCCAGCGACTTAAGACTGGTTTTGTGCTCCAGGGTCACATGTTTCAACGTGAATTTATTTCAAAGCATTAACCGTACAATGCAATATTTGTTCTAAGCATATTTATCAATAAGATTTTACATTGGTGAAATAGCAAATATAGACAATGTGTAATTGTACATTAGTTCAATTCTATTTTAATTCTTTAAAGTTGTCTGGCAACCGTAAACAGCCTACACTTTAAAACAATTAGTAATTTTAACAGAAATGGAAAAATGCTACAGTAAAACCTGTTAATTGTTGTTACTAATATTTCTCACCATATACTGTATTAGATTTACATACATGCGATCTTTAAAATGTCTTTTGCAAGCAAAAAAGTATGAATTACATCAATAAAAAAAATTCTATATTATAAATAGTCTTGACATTTACACTACCAATAAAAAGCTTGGGGTTCTTAAGGTTATTTAATGTTTAAATAAATTTAAACTCTCTTATGCTCACCAAGGCTGCATTTATTTAAGTACAAAATATAGTAACAACAATAATATTATGCAACGTATATAAAAATAAATATTTTGTGACAAGGTGAAAGTCTGTACCATCACTTTTGATCAATTTAATGCATCCTTGCTGAATAAAAGTATTAATGTCTGAACATATTTTATTTTGTTTAATTAATGTTATTCATGTATTTGCATTTATACCCTGCTGCCATTTGTCTTTGTGTAAGTTAATTAGCCATTGTTTTAAAAAGGGCCATGAAAATAGTTGGGGTGTTTTATCTAAACTGTTTACAGTACAAAGCAGATTTATTAACATTATATCAGTTCATGAATCATGATACTGTACATTGATGAACTATAAAATAAAATATTTTTTACAGTGAATTTCTAGCGACCGCAGCTTTTTATACTGTAAATTTAACAGGATGTTTTACAATGTTCAGTTAACGCTAATAAATTGCATTACTAAGAATTTTTTTTTTGCAATTATTATTATTATAAAACATTTATTTATTGAACAATTGGTGTCTTTTTGCCAGTGTTACGCAAAATAATAATCCTCAAGAGGATTATTTTCATGAGGTTGTGCAGACATGAGTGTTACTGACATGTCTGGGGTCACTGGGATCCAGGCTGTGCAGTAGATTTTGTAGCTGGTCCATTTCATCCTGGGCTAATTATAATACATAATAAATAAAAATAACAATCACTCTCATTCTGGCACCTGTTTATCTTGTTCTTCTAATTCAGCAAGAAGACGGTCCCTGTCCATTTCTGTCTCCTCTAAACGCTGCAGCATCAAGTGCTGCTGCTCTTGAGCATCTTCCAGCTCCTTCCTCAATCTATGGAGCTCCGCCTCCTCACCCCGTCTCTCTGCTGCCTGCTGGAATAAAATAAAGGGAGATCAGCATCTCTTCATACTAAGACATTATACTGCAATATGTGAGCATCTGAACTTTAGAAATGGCAATGTAACTGAAAAGTCTATTTAAAATAATGATTACTTGAATTCCACAACATCAGCTCACCTGAGCCTGGTATCTTTCTTGGTACTTCCTGAGTCTCTCTTTGAGCGAACTCATCTCTCCAGCAAGTCTGTCCTGACAGCGCTGGGCCTCGTCTCTATCGCTCTGAGCAGCAGATACCACACGATGCACCTCCTGTTGTAGCTCCATGAATTTCTTGTTCATTGGCTCCCCAAGGTCTTTAAAGCTGCAACAGGACAGGATAATAAAGACATGTCACCATCTGATGGACACATCTGTAGCCACAGTCCACCTATTATAATTTGCTTAAATATCCAATAAGAATCTATAATACCTTAGTTCCTCTTGTCCTGTAGCTATGCTTCTTCTCAGCTCTCCTAAACGTTTAGCCACACTTTCTGTGCAAAGAAGCTCCTCCCTAACCTGCTCCAAATCACCCTGAAGAGCATCCACCTTCTCCTTAAGACTGTCTCTTTCCTCCTGTGAAAGCCATTTTCAGCCAGCAATTCAAAGATGTGAGTCATACTGGAGGTTGAATGATTCTCATACATCAACAAGCATCAGAATGTACAACACATGCTTTTACAGGCTCTGAGAAGGGTTTGAGGTGAAAATCGTGCATCCTTTGGTCTTTCCAAGAATCCTCTCTTTCCAATAGAAGAAAAAGTCTGACTGAGCTTTATTATTCTGGTATGAGGTCTGTTGTGCAGTAACACACCTGAAGAGTGTTGACCTGTTGCAGAAGCTCTGTGTTCTCAAGCTCTCTGTCGGCAGCCATCTGCATCTGTGCCAAAGCGTTCTCTTTTGCCTGTCTTTCTTTCTGCAGCTCCGCCTGCAGTGCAGAGTGCTCCATCTGTAAATGTGGAAGCCACTTCAATGTTAAAATTTAAAAGGCTGTTTTGTAAAATGTTTCTTAAGCACCAAATCAGCATATTAGAATGATTACTGAAGGATCACATGACACTGAAGACTGGAGTAATGGCTGAAGAAGAAAACAGTTGTTTTAAATTGTAATAATATTTCACAATATTACTGTTTTACAGTATTTTTAATCAATTTTTATCAGCTATGGTGAGCATAAGAATCTAAGATTTTGAATGGTAGTGTACGTTTAATGAGCAAGCTGTTTTTCCAAAATGAATGCAAACTGATGTTTTCTCATAATACACATGAAAGAATGTGAAAAGATCCGAAGACAAGATTTTCAGTGAACAGTGATGGAAATTTCAGCTTGTTGTTGAAGGATATTTTAAGAAAAGATGGATAAGGACATATAAAGAATCTTTGAAATATATTGCACGAGTCGTTCTGAGAGTCATTCCTTTATGGAGCTTGACAGGCACTAGTCACAGTCTAATCTATTTGAATGGAAATGGCCTATGTGAATATACAACCTAACATTTTGTGAAATGTAAAAAAGTTTGGAGAAACTTGAGTAGAATTTTTATTTTCAGGTGAACTATGCCTTTACAAAAAAGGCATTATATTATGCACAAATATGAAAAACAAATCTATGAACCCATTTCTTACTTGACTGAGTTGACGCAGTCTGCCCAGCTCCTCCTTCAGTTGTGTGGCCTCAGTATCTCTCTCCTGTAGTTGTGTTTCCAGCTCTGCCTCATATTCACTGACCTGCCCCTGAGCCTGTTTCAGCTCTTCATTCTCCTTCCTCAGATCCTCCAACACCTGCTGTTGAAACTGAAGCTCCTATAACACAACAAACAATGTGATCATGCTGATTTGACTTATTACAGAGTGGTGTATTAAAAATGTTGCTCTGTTATGTCAGAAACAGACTCCAACCTCCTGTGCGCTTTTAGCACTCAGAGCTTCTTTCTCCAGCTGTGTGCACTGCAGCTCCTTCTCACACAGGAAGCGTTGCAGAGCATCTTTCTCTCTCTGCAGACGACTGCAATCTAACTGGGCTCTTCGTGCTTGGTCCTTCACCCCCTGCAGATACTCCTGGAGACCTGAGATGATGCCCTCCAGGTCACGCTTGAGTGCTTCATTAGCAGCGATCTGACCTGAAAGAGTGGAGATGGTTTCTTTTAGCTTATTTGATGATTTTTTAAATATTGTATTCATCCATAAAATTACAACAGATCAAATGCTACCTTTATCTAATGAAGGTTAAAAACAACATTTCAAAAAAGGTCCTCACCATCAGTAAGCTGTTGCTCTAATTCTTTGATCTCCTGTGTCTCCTTGTGGATGCGTGTGATCATGTCATCCAGCCTGCTCTCCAGTTCCTGGTGCTTTCTGCTCATGATGGCCAGCAGCTGCGTCTTCTTGGACAGCTGAGCCTTCACGTGGTCCTGCAGGAGTGATGGCAGAGAGAGTTGGGTTAGAGTGCAATTACATGATCAATTCTGCTGGTTTGTGTCTCCAAGGCACCACTTTTTCGAATACAATATTCTCCAAACTAAGCTGATATGTATCTACTTTTGTTGTAATAAAAATAAATAAATTCAAAAATATAATGTCAGTTTAATAGCGTCTTTTATTATTGTTGTTTTATTATTTTATTATTGTTTAATATTATTATCTTTATTTTTAGTGGGTTTTATTTTTATTGAGACTGTTATTATAACTACATTTAAATAATTTAAGATTTATTGCAACCCAACTGCAAGTAACATATTGAATTTAAAGTGAAATTTTAAGTGGACATACATTTGGATAGTATTTTCTTCTACAACAATCGCTTTGTTTTATTTACACTATAGTCTTTTGTTGTTGTTGTAATTTTACTCACAACTTTGAAAATGTATTTTTTACAGTGTTCTATCCACCCAAAATAGTAAACAAAACAGTATGCGAATTGGGTGCATTTGTTACTTCTCAACCATTGACTTCCTCTTCCCTCCCAATATATATTATCTCAAAGTGAAAATGTTACATTTTAATTAAACATTATTTTAAACAATGCCTTGTTCACAGGAAAGTTTGCTTTAAAACTTAAATCCAACACTATCTATAATTAAAGAGTACAAATGTACTCAGATTTATCTAGTGGTGTACTGATTTAATACTGTGCCTTGTTTTTGTCCACGGCTGTCATAAAATATGCAAGCCAGCAAACTCTGATGACATAATGCCTTTGCAATTTCCTGTTATAAACACTGAAAATATACAACATTCATGAAACATTATAACGTAAAGGATCAACTTTAAAAAACGAAATAATGTTCAATGATGTTAGACACCAATAATCACTTCTACAAACAACATTACAAGCCCCAAATTACAACAGTATGACCGCAACCTCCCATGAGCCCCTCCTAAACCCCAGTGGGGTACTTACTACAGCGGTGTGGCTCCCATCTCTTCGCTTTCTGTCTCTATATGTCCATTTTTCTCCTGTTGCTGCCCCACGAGGAGTAACAGGGGCTCCTTGTGCAGAAAGAGAACATTTCCTGTCTCTTTTAGCTCTGTTACGCTAAAATTCATAGCTTTTCTTCCATGGACTCCAACTATCTCTAAAAGCAGCCCCCTCCTCCTCTATCTCTGCACTCTTTCCACCCTCCTCTCAACTCTCTTTGAATCAACACAGGAAACTTTCGGCAGCCTCAGCCAATCAGTGTCTGTGTCTGGTGGGAGTAGGCTCCACCCACAGCATCAACAGATTTCCCAGGACAGAAGTTCTCTCTTCTTTCTTAAAGAGACAAGAGCCTCATTTTATATGCCTGCAAGTCGTTGCTGAGCATCATGGGTTAGTGATGATTAATTCCGTAGAGAACCTAATCTTATTATACACCTTTGTTGTTAGGGAGGTTCCACAACACATCAGTTGTTTTGCACTCATTTTGTCCTACACTGTTTGTATGCCAAACATTTTCTTTAACAGAAAACTGGAAGACATGCACTTTGTTGTTATAAAACATAAATAAACTAAGGATCTAACATCTGAATAGTTCTGAGGCTTACGGCAAAAACACAACATACACAGACAATAAACCATTTTATACTCATGGAAATTATTTTTTGTGGCATTTGCAGATGTTGCCGAAGGCATAGCGCGAACCTTTAAGAGTGATCACGCATGGGTGTAAACAGTAACATGTTGCAGAAATATGTAATATGTAAATATGTTATTTCTGTAGGGCACAGGTTCTTGCCTATATCTATTAATATGTGACCCTAAACCAGTCATAAGGGTCAAATTTTTGAATACATAAGATTTCCATTAATGTATGGTTTGTTAGGAAAGGACAATATTTGGCCGAGATATAACTATTTGAAAATCTGGAATCTGAGGGTGCAAAAAAATCTAAATATTGAGAAAATCACCTTTAAAGATGTCCAAATGAAGTTCTTAGCAATGCACATTACTAATCAAAAATTAAGTTTTGATATATTTACGGTAGGACATTTACAAAATATCTTCATGGAACATGATCTTTACTTTATATCCTAATGCTTTTTGGCATAAAAGAAAAATTGATAATTTTGACACGTACAATATTTTTTTTTGGCTATTGCTACAAATATACCCCAGCGACTTAAGACTGGTTTTGTGCTCCAGGGTCACATGTTTCAACGTGAATTTATTTCAAAGCATTAACCGTACAATGCAATATTTGTTCTAAGCATATTTATCAATAAGATTTTACATTGGTGAAATAGCAAATATAGACAATGTGTAATTGTACATTAGTTCAATTCTATTTTAATTCTTTAAAGTTGTCTGGCAACCGTAAACAGCCTACACTTTAAAACAATTAGTAATTTTAACAGAAATGGAAAAATGCTACAGTAAAACCTGTTAATTGTTGTTACTAATATTTCTCACCATATACTGTATTAGATTTACATACATGCGATCTTTAAAATGTCTTTTGCAAGCAAAAAAGTATGAATTACATCAATAAAAAAAATTCTATATTATAAATAGTCTTGACATTTACACTACCAATAAAAAGCTTGGGGTTCTTAAGGTTATTTAATGTTTAAATAAATTTAAACTCTCTTATGCTCACCAAGGCTGCATTTATTTAAGTACAAAATATAGTAACAACAATAATATTATGCAACGTATATAAAAATAAATATTTTGTGACAAGGTGAAAGTCTGTACCATCACTTTTGATCAATTTAATGCATCCTTGCTGAATAAAAGTATTAATGTCTGAACATATTTTATTTTGTTTAATTAATGTTATTCATGTATTTGCATTTATACCCTGCTGCCATTTGTCTTTGTGTAAGTTAATTAGCCATTGTTTTAAAAAGGGCCATGAAAATAGTTGGGGTGTTTTATCTAAACTGTTTACAGTACAAAGCAGATTTATTAACATTATATCAGTTCATGAATCATGATACTGTACATTGATGAACTATAAAATAAAATATTTTTTACAGTGAATTTCTAGCGACCGCAGCTTTTTATACTGTAAATTTAACAGGATGTTTTACAATGTTCAGTTAAGGCTAATAAATTGCATTACTAAGAATTTTTTTTTGCAATTATTATTATTATAAAACATTTATTTATTGAACAATTGGTGTCTTTTTGCCAGTGTTACGCAAAATAATAATCCTCAAGAGGATTATTTTCATGAGGTTGTGCAGACATGAGTGTTACTGACATGTCTGGGGTCACTGGGATCCAGGCTGTGCAGTAGATTTTGTAGCTGGTCCATTTCATCCTGGGCTTGAATCCTCTCAGCATTCAGCCTGTCCAGCTGCTTCTCCATAGCCTCCATCTCTCCTCTCATCTCTCCCAGCCTCTGTATCCTCCTCTGAAGCTCCTGCCTGAGCTGCTCCTTCTCAGCCTCACAGATCTATGTGCAAATCAACAAACTAAGTAATTCAAAAATGAATCTGAATATGGACATATTGCTGCCATCAAGTTTTCAAAAAGTCATTCACAGAAGATGTTTAAAGGGGAACATCTCACCCGTCTCTGTGAAGCTGTCTCCTCTAGCTGCCGGAGCTCTTCACTGGCTTTAAAGATCTGCCGTTCTTTTGCCTCAATTTCTTTATGTAACTGCTGTAATCGCTCCTCAGCTAAAAACAAAACACAAACAGTGGCCCTATAAAAAGGGAAAATGTCCTCCATTGTTCATTTGCAGATGCCATATGGATGGATTTATTTATTTATTTGTGGGGTTACTGTACAGAATCAAGAAATTAGGTCATCAACAGTCATTTCAGTTTTATTTGAAGGTATTTTACTGTATATACAGTATGCACAAGCAAGGTGATTCTATGCAACGTAGACCCAAACCTGAGCAGCAGTGCAGATAATAAGACAAAAAACAACAAATTGTTACGAGTAAAAATGGAACAGCATGTGTAACATACAAATGTTATTTCACTTAACAATTTAGAGCTTTTAATATAATGTGAGAACACAGTGTACCTCTAAGCTGAGCATGTCTGGACATGTCATGTTCTCCTGGGCCGTCTGTCTCAGTCAGGTCCGCTGAGGAGGCCTTCTGCTGGTTTTGTGCACCCATGCTATCCGTCTCCAATGGGAATGTGATGTTCCTTTTCTGACGAGACTTTCCTATGTATGGACTCTCGCTAGAAAGGTTCTCTACCTCCACCTCCTGAGCAACAATGAGAATAATCTTCATAAAAAAAACAATATAACCCTACCATACACAAATCAGCATTGTGTGATATAGTTCTTCAATGGTCATTCTCAGATAATTGTCTATAAAGAAATCCACTAATATATAAAATATATTGTTGTTATTAGGACTGAAGTCATTTGGAGCTTTTGTATTGCAGAATTCATCAAAATCATCAAAGATCAAATATGAAACGTCACCTATGAATGAATCAGAATGTAACACCCTGTTAAAACCTCACAATGACCAATAAAGTTTTCTTTGCTTAAAAGCTTTAACTAAATTAATTAAAACTTCATACACTACATTTTGAATGAAAAAAGACAGGATGCACTACCGTTTGAGGTTGGTAAAAAGCCTCTCGCTAGAAAGGTTCTCTACCTCCACCTCCTGAGCAACAATGAGAATAATCTTCATAAAAAAAACAATATAACCCTACCATACACAAATCAGCATTGTGTGATATAGTTCTTCAATGGTCATTCTCAGATAATTGTCTATAAAGAAATCCACTAATATATAAAATATATTGTTGTTATTAGGACTGAAGTCATTTGGAGCTTTTGTATTGCAGAATTCATCAAAATCATCAAAGATCAAATATGAAACGTCACCTATGAATGAATCAGAATGTAACACCCTGTTAAAACCTCACAATGACTAATAATCCTATTATTATTATAAAAAAAAAAAAAAGGTTTTCTTTGCTTAAAAGCTTTAACTAAATTAATTAAAACTTCATACACTACATTTTGAATGAAAAAAGACAAGATGCACTACCGTTCAAAAGTTTGAGGTTGGTAAGATTTATATATGATAATAATCAGAAATGTTTCTTGAGCAGCAAATCAGAATATTAGAATGATTTCTTAAGGATCATGTGACACTGAAGACTGGAGTAATGATGCTGAAAATTCAGCATCAGAAATAAATTACATTTAAAATATTTTTAAATAGAAATCTATTATATAGCTCACTATTATACTGTATTTTACATTTTAATAATATTTCACAATATTACTGTTTTTACTGTATTTTTGATCAAATAAATGCAGCCTTGGTGAGCATAAGAGACTTCAACCCTAAACTTTGGAATAGTAGCATAAATTTAGAGACCAATTAAAAAAAAAAAGGAAAAAAAAACATTATATATATATATCTCACAATGAATGATCTATTTTTATCTATCCAAATTTCTAGATATTAATAAACCAAAACAAATACATACAGGATCTGGATAAAATGGAAGAGGTTCAAACTTGGCATCAATTTTGTGGAAAGCCAACTCCTGCTCAAGCTCATAGTGTTTCTGACAGGCCCGGGTCAACTCCACTGTTTTCTGCTTCAGCTGTGTAATAAGAGAGAGCTTATTTAAACACAACACTTTACATACCACCAGAAAACACATCAGCCACACTTCACTACAACCTTTACGGATACATGTTCTACAAAACTTTTACACTCATGGAAATACACAGAGCAATGAATGATATTTCCATTAACATAGAATGCATACATGCAGAAACCTCAGAAACATGCTGAAGAACATAGCAATACCATACCGTTCACACATCGCTCTCTAAAGCGAACACCTGAGAGGACAGGAGAACATAATGTTGACATCATACAGTGATTGGTGGGGCACATGTGAATACCTGACAGAGAGAATCCAGCAAAGGAGCTTGATGTGGAGGCTGAGATTGAAGCAGGAATGAAGAGAAGAGGCATGCAAAGAGTTTACGTAAAAGCACAGGAGTGAAAGATACATCAACTCAACAGGGAAAAGAAAAGTTTAAAGGATAGAAAATGTAGCTTTGCCATTAAAGGAATTAATTACATTTTACAACATATTCAGATAGAATATATATATTTTTATTTTTAGTTATATTTCACAATATTCCTGTTTTACTGTATTTTTGGTCAAATAAATGCTGCCTCTTAGTATATGTCTGTCATCTAATTTGAAAATTGTTTTAAATTAAAAACAAACAAACAAATAAATAAATAAATATTCTGTGCAGTGCAGTGAAGCAATTAGCATAAAATTAATGTTCTAATAGTTGAAACAGTTTCTGTTCTCTTTTTCCAAATGCAAACTCTCAGAGATGTTCTGTTCAGTTAAACAGATGGAAACACACACACACACACAAAACAATTTTCAACACTGTTCACAAAGTACCTTTAGAGCAGGTGACAAAAGCATGGAGTAAGAAGAGAGAGCTGAACAGGAAATTGTCTAGAAAAGACAGGAAAAGGGAATTTTGAAAAATGAATATCTGTGCTCACTATGAGTGCATTTTGAGTTTGCAATAAGGAAATTAAAGATTAAAGTCAACATGTCATTATTTGCACTAACATTATTTCCATCACAAGTCAGGATGTTTCAGATATAGGGCAAGTTATTAAATTCTGATTAAGAATTAAGAGAATATTTTATTACTTTGGATAAATATACAGTGATGAACTGTGCATAACAGCATCAGGACAATGTAAGGCAAGACACCGCAAGTGAACAGGGATACTATTTTAACTTATAGATATCACCATACTTCCTCAGTTGATTAATCACAGTATGTTAAGACAATTTTTTTTACATTTTTTTTATTACAACTATTTTGGAATGTTATGTGAATATACAACTGAGTCATTATCTAATTAAATAAGCATATTAATTTGCATACATTTCCAGAATAGAAATCTAAACATTTGATAAAGACAAAATTCCTGTTTCATTTTGTTGACATATTACAGTAGAAGGTTTCACAGAGGTTTTAGACACCTCTTCTCACGTTTTCATAAATCAGAAAAATACTGTAACAGACAGAAAAAAAAAACTATTTTTTATGAAAATTTTTTTATATAAATAAGTGTGATTTACATTCGAATAAAGCTCTCTGTAAAAAAATAAATAAAAAGGGAAAGTCTGGTACATGTAAGTACTTTGAAGTGGGACTTTTTGGCTCAATGCAGGAGAAAAAAAATAATGCAGGAGAAAACAGCCTTTAAAGAAATGTATTGTAATTGTAATTTTTCTTTCCACTAGTCTGAAAGAACTCATGTCATGGAGGCAAAACAGCCCAAAATCTCAAAACTGACCAGCGTATGTAAAAAGTAATGGTTCCCCTGTAGTATCTTGCCTTAGGAAAATATATAATTAAAAAATAAAAGTACAATATTTCATTTTGAGGTTTTGTTAGTGGTGCTTCTTAAGGAAATGCTCTGAAATTAAACTATTGTTTACATGTGATATTACAATTATGCGTGTGAGGACAGAATGATCAACTCTATTCTCACTGGAGTTGATGACAGTGAAGACTCATCACCCACCAGATCAGATTTGGTGTCCAGTTCTCTCCGGAGTTCCTCACGGCTCCGCTGTTGCTCCTGATACTGTTGCCTCAGGTTTTGATTGAGCGTTTCCTGCCGCTCTAGTTCTTCCAGTGCTGTGGTCCGCTCTCTCTGAAGTTGTGCAATCTCTTCAGTTCTCAACTCCAGCTCTTGCTCCAAACGCTCTACTTCCTCTATAAGGACAGCACAAAAGGTTTCAGATTATAACAGCACATATGAAGATAAAATAAATGTGGAAGATGAGATGGCGTACCCATGTGAAAGCGCTGATGTGCTCGCTCTCTTTCCTGTGGACTGATTGTTTGTCCATCCAATATTTCCAGTGACCTCAGATGGAAGATTAGGAAGAGGTGATAATGGGGCAGGCTGGAGATGGGGTTTTCTGCTAATGTCAGACATGTCAGGTTCTTCAGGGGCTTCAGTTTAGTTATCTCATGAAGCTAGGTCACAAAGGTAGAGAATGTTGCAAGTAGCATAAATGTGTATGAACAAAAATTGAACATCAGTGATTTACTTTTAATGTGAAATATATGACATTAAAGGAACAGTTCATCCAAAACTGAAAATGCGGTCATTATTTACTCACCTCCAATCCTGTATGACTTACTTTCTTCTGTCGAACACAAAAGAAGATATTTTGAAGATTGTTGGTAACCAAACAGTTTTGGTGCCTCTTGACATCCATTGAAGAAAAATGTTGAGACTTTTTTTTTTCTCCAAAATATATTTTTTTATGTTCCACAGAAGGAAGAAGGTTATACAGGTTTGCAACAATATGAGGGTGAGAAAAACACATTTTCTTTTTCATTTTTGGGTGAACTACCCATTTGAGGACTTTTTTGTTGATTGGCTGTTTTAAACACATGATTAACAAATATAAGCAAACGCTGAGACAGAAAAGCTCAGATAAATTGTACCCACTGAGAATATCTTGTTGCTCTGTAGATTTATAGTATGAAGAGATCTGAGCTTCTTTGCCATCCAAACTGGAAGATGTTCAATGTTGTTGAAGGCCAAATTCACAACCTGAAGATTTGTCATGTGCTCTAAACCTTCAACTTTTCTGCAGATAAATGAAACATAAATTATATTTAAAAACTTGTATAGGCCTTTCGAACATTATACCATTCTATCTTTTATTCTACTATGGACATTTTTATTTTATTTATTTATTTAAATGTAGCATACTACCACAATTTTTTTTGTAAGGGAATGTTTCTTGTTAAGCAGACAAATGTAACATTCTTACTGTATCCTGTTACTGGAAAGGAGGAGTTCCCGTAACTGACATAGTTTCTCTAGTTTTTCAATTCTCTCAATCCTGTTGTTACTGAGGTTGAGAACCTGCAAGCGCTCACACTTATCCAAATTTTCAATATACTAAAACACACACACAACACACACAGAAGTCAAATCAATGCAAAAGTGAATGACACTATATCAATTTGACCACTCACACTGAGCATTAATCAAATAATATCGAAATCTTACCCTAAATTGTTTGTCACTTGCCATAGATGTAGACAAATCCAGGGTGCGCACAAGGACTAAATTTTCACATTTAGTCAACCTCCTGATCAGGTCTTCTGTGATGTATCTCGTCCCCTTATATTGTCTTTTGTCTATGAGTAGATGTTTGTGTAAATGAATGACACAATGACATATATATATATATATCAATAAACACTTCAGCTTTATTGGAAAATACTCCAATAAAGCAAAAATACTATAAAAAATATTTTGTTCACTAATGGTATTTAAGTACATTTTTCACATCACGAATGACACAATGATATATATATATATATATCAATAAACACTTCAGCTTTATTGGAAAATACTCCAATAAAGCAAAAATACTATAAAAAATATTTTGTTCACTAATGGTATTTAAGTACATTTTTCACATCACATGTTTGATCTCAAGCTTTTTACAGACACTGTTGTTTGTCTCTTTGGCAAACAAGTAAGTTAGACTAACTATTAATGAAACTTCACTAGGGCCAAAACTGTTTGTTAGGACGAAAATCATAATAATTGAACAAAACGAGGATATTTTCCCGCAATATTAAACTCTTCTTTTAAACAAGAAATTTGAATGATGGGAGTTCCATAGTTTGAGATTAAAAGTATGGGTCTGACTCTGAGACAAGGGCAAAACAAGGAAATCTATACAGAAAAGGAACCTGAAAAGTACCAGAAATAATGAAGGCATGGTGAAATCGGTAAGTTTCCATAAAGATCAACCCCTAGGCTGGGACATTAAAAGTACCCAAAGTTGAAGAAACCTCCACTTCTTGAATGAATTTGGAGAAATGACTTTAATACTTCAAAACTGACCTGAAAAGGCAGATCAGATAAGAGTGGCTCCTGTACTGTACATCTAAGCAACAACTGATTTACCATCATCACTGGGATCATCTCGACCTCCATCCTCAGTCTCCGACCATGAGATGGCGTTGGGGGACACAGTTTTGCTCTGGAGGCTCTTGGAACATTTGGATCCCGCTGTTGGTGACCGTTTGGGCATTTGAACCCCTCTTTTCATTTTATTCTCATGGGATATTATCTGATGTCAGCGAATACAATGCTCATCCTAAACCATCGCGACTTTACGTAACGTACGTAACGTAACTGCCAGCAGTTTATTTTACGTTATGTTAAAATTACAATGCAGACCAAATCTGACAAAACGCAAACAACTAAAGTCACCTAATAACTAAAATGGTGTAATATATACGAATAAGCAGTTTTACATTCAACAGCATGTTCATTCAATGTTTCACAAAGACTGGACAAGTTTTGTTAGCCCAGTTTCCATAGCGACCGATTAGGATCCCTTGCGATCATCCAGCGACCGTCAGCTTATTATGCTTCCTTCTTAGAGAAACTGTCAAAGCGGATACAGGCCTGTTGTGTTTCTCTCGTGTCCCAGGTCTCATTATTTATCAAGGTTTAAACTGAGCTTTCATTCTCTTGTGGTCTGATTCTCCAGCATGAACTCAAAAGGATTCGCGGTGATGTTTGGGTCATGTGACGCAGCTGCAGTTATTTCAAAATAAGAGTCCCGTGCCCTCAAAGCAGACTTCACACGCAAACAACCGTAATATGTTTTCACAGTGTTTAGAAAAATAATATAGGCTAATAACTGCATGTACATACATAAATAACAATAAAGACTTTCCTAAACGTCTGTTTGTCAGTAAGCAACGCAAAATGTTCGTTTCATATGACAATAATTCAGCTTTGAGGCAAATTGCATGTAGCCTAATGCTTTTTTGTTCAATGTTGCATATGTATGGGGTTGATAAGAATGGCAAAAATAATCACATATTTTGAGGTACTTAAAAAAAAAAATTTATTTAAAAGTTTCTGTTTATTCTTGAAATCTCTAATCCTATTTATTTATTTTTTCAGATTATGTTGCTATAGAATAGAAGAACAGGCATACGAATTAGTTCTTCTATTGACATGCAATTTATCACTTAATCTTCACAGCCAGATAATAAGAAATCAAATTCAAATTCCTCCAAAACACTGGCGTATTGTTTGCAGGCAGCATCTCTGCAGTCAGTGTCAAGTGGCCACCAGTCCACCCAAGCACGCGAGTCCAAAGGAAATTTATACCTAAAACATGGTATAAAGAAAATCAGTTTTGAGGCTTCTGTACATAATAGTAAATGAGAAACACTCTCACTTTATAATTGACACTGCAATGCAACCGATTAAGGAATTTTTGATAAAAAATTATGATGACTCTTTGTGTCAAACAAACAGATAGCCCCGACCCAAAACTTGAGCATTATGTAGGCTACTACATGATGTGGCTTTTTAAAAATGATCAAACAAACAAGGACTTACTTATAACCACGATTCATTTGTATCTTAATACTCTCAGCAGTCATGATCAGATACTGCTTGCCAACTTCGAAATTTGTTGAACTGCAAGTTGCCTTCTTCACTAAATCTATCTCTGAATCTGTCTTTAGGTCGTCTGTTTGTCCTGTAGAAGAGAAATTAAGAGGGTGGATTGAAGCTGTCATGAAACTTGTTTCTTTAAATTGTTTATTCAAGCCTTTTTGCTTTAAAGCATTCAAATAATTTACCATTTAACTTGCTAACAAATCATATTCAATATACTCTTGCCTTTCTTGAGCACTGCTTTAACTTTCGCTTTGTAGGTCACGAAATCTCCTCCTGCCTCAGATGATTCAATTAACACTTTAAATGCTAGAGGGAAAAAACACTGTAAATGATATGTACCGATGTGCACATGTATACACATGACAATGATGTTTTATGGCTTAAAGCTTCATAAAGATTAGTATTTACCATAATTAATGCTTTCTTTGCACATGTCATTTTTACGCTGTACAGCCGTAATTTGGGGATCAATGGTGGATTTAAAGTTGCAGCATTCCGCTAATTTTGAAAGGGACATGAAAATACCAACAAACTGTTATTATACTAACACAGACACATTAAACTCACATAGATGTAAATGATAACTACATGAGCAGCATTGGTATAAATGCAGTGTTAGACTGTTAATGGTCAAGATTGACAGAATTGCCCTGGGGCCCCAGACGTAAGACACAACAAAATGGTTCATTTATTTTTTTTGGTCAGTTGTTTTATTTCTGTCTTTTATGTGGCTTACCTGCCATGCACTGACATTGGTCTCCCTCACAGAGTCGTAACAGTTTGCGGCTTTGTTTGTGGTAGAACTTCACACACTTATTTTCTATTAAAAATAAGATGAGAACGCTTGTTTTATATATCTAAAATAAGTTCAGCCAGACATAAAATAAACATTTGCAAAATACCTGGATTACTAAATTCATAAACTTCGAATACAGAAGCTCTGGCCATGCCAGTTTCAAATTCCTCTTGAACACGGAAACCCACACAGTATAGCTCTTCTGATGGTATCTGCATGATAAGTATTGTATAGTAGAAATATTCAACAAAATCAAATACACACCATATTTTAACACAAAAAGTCAAAAGGCAAAAGATTGTTTTGCCCAGCGATGCTCACCGAATCTATCTGAAGGATGACTTGGTCGCCATTGATTTCATAGTTGGAAATCCGAGACTCAAGTCCATTCAGGTACTGCAAAATATAGAAACATAATGTCACTAAAAGTTTCTGAAACAATGGATGGCTTCTATAAAAATGTATTTGCATTTAGACTCTCACCATATCTAGATCTTCCTGGACTGGGGTCACACCGGTCGGCAAATTAATTTCCATCACAGTGATTCCTGACTCCGTTTCAAATGCATTTTCATGTGGCTTGAATCTTTACATATAATGGCGTTTTCATTTTAATTAAAATGTATTCATTTTAATACAAATCAGAATTTTACAGAGACACTTAAAACCTGTTGCTTCTTATCAGGAGCTTCTACAGACTTACTTTGCACAGGCCACAATCCGCTGTGACAAAAGCATAGGATCTGCTCACAAAGAAATCAAATTAGCTGAACCAAGTTAATTTGAGAAGAAAACAAAGAGTAGAAAAGTAGACAAAAGTACCAAACTTACCATCTGAATTTGGGACACTTTCATGAATGTCAATTGACATATCAAAATAGCAATTTTTATTGTTTTCTGTCATCTCATAGAACACTGTTCTCAGCTGTAAAAAAAATAGGTTAATCAATTAATGAATTTGGTTCAATGCATAGAATTTTTGAAAAAAAAAATCTGGATTGTTGTAGTGTTTATTATATACACTGAAAAGGACCATCCTATAAAAATATAGTTTATAAATTTGTCACAAGGGTGGTATGTTAAAAAAATTATTCACAAAAAACAAATTAAAAATCAAAAACACTAAAAAAGGCTTAGTTCACCCAAATATCTGGGTCAGCGCCGGCACCGCCACACGCTCGCGTCATGGTACTGTCGTGAACGCGCGTCCAAAGTGACGCAGTAGAGATGAAAATGTGGAATAAAGTCGTTATTTTTGTTTTCTTTGTGCAAAAAAGTATTCTTGCAGCTTCGTACCTTTACAGTTGAACCACTGATGTCACACGGACTACTTTGTCGATCATCTTGGTACTTTTCTGGACCTTGAACGTGGTGGTTACCTTGCTGTCTATGGGAGGGTCAGAGAGCCCTCAGATGCCATCAAAAATATCTTAAATTGGGTTCCGAAGATGAACGGAGGTCTTACGGGTTTGGAACAACACGAAGGTGAGTAATTAATGACAGAATTTGAATTTTTGGGTGAACTAACCCTTTAAGACGCGTTTGAAAAGTCAGCAGGCAATCGCTGTTGCAAATATCAAGGGGATGAGAGTTCCATAGGCAGGGGGCAGCATAGCAAAAAAATCTGGCACCCATGTTAGTTAGCCGAATTTGAGGTACCACAAGGGAAATTGAAGATGAAGATCTAAGAGCTCATGAACTGTAAACATGAATAAGTTGAGTAAGGTAATGAGGTGCAAAACAATGAAGTGCCTTGTAAGTTAGTAACAGAATCTTGAATTCAACTTAATACTTTACTGGAAGCCAATGCAATTGCTGAAGAACAGGAGAAATGTGGTCAGTAGAAGGTGTTCTAGAAAGAACACAGGCTGCAGAATTCTGAACCAACTGGAGCTTATATAGCACTTTAGAGGGAACACCAGTGAGAAGGGCATTACAAGTCTATTCGTGAAGTGACTAATGCATGAACTAGAACTGCTGTATTATCGGTTGAGAGAAAGGAATGGAGACGGTTAATATTACGCAGATGGAAATATGCAGTCCACGTGATATTGTTAATTTGAGTTTCAATGGATAGCGTACTATCCGAGATAACGCCCAAACTTTTAACCTATGAGGAAGGACAGATTGCATTATTATCAATGTTCAAGGAAAGACAATTAGATTTATACAAAACAGATCTAGTGCCAACATGTAGGGCCTCAGTTTTGTTGCCATTTAGCTTCAAGAAGTTAGCTAAAAGCCAATCTTTCATTTTAGGTAAACAACTGGACAGAGATGGCGGAGGAAAAGAATCAGTGGGTTTAGCAGACAGGTAAAGTTGGGTGTCATCCGCATAACAGTGAAAAGGAACACCATGCTTCCTCAAAATGTAACCAAGAGGGAGTATATAAATAATGAACAAAAGTGGGCCCAAAACAGAACCCTGGGGAACAACAGTGGTGACTGTAGATATTTTTGATCTGAAACTTTTTAATTGAATACACTGAGTGCGACCAGAAAGATACGACCTAAACCAAGACAGGGGAATGCCAGTAATCCCTAGAAGCTAACCTGTCTAGGAGTATCTTATGTGAGACAGTATCAAAGGCCACACTCAAGTCAAGAAGGACAAGTATGCTTAATAGCCCAGAGTCAGCTGCTAGCAACAAATCAGAGGTTATTCTAACAAGAGCAGTCTCAGTGCTGTGGTGGGGACGAAAACACGATTGAAATTATTCAAACAAATTATTATTGGAGAGATGTTCCTGAATTTGAATTGCAATACACTTTCCCACGATCTTAGAGATAAACGGTACATTTGAAATCGGACAAAATTATCAAAGTTAAATGGATCAGCCCCTGGTTTCTTAAGTATGGGAGTAATAATAGCAGATTTAAGAGATGGAGGTACAAAACCAGAGACAAGTGAAGCATGAACAATTTTAGTAATCAGTTCAGCAGTTCGGGTGTAAACCAAGGAGCTGAATGTACAAATGAAACAGTTAAAGTTTTCACAGGTGCAAAATCATCTAAAATCATGTTTAGACCATCATTGTAATATGAAACCAGTTCATAGGAATGTATATTCCTATGTTAAATAAAATGTTCACTTACACTGGCAAATGACACACCAGAGCTCATTGCAGTTTTGATGATTATATCATCATTTTTGGTCACCTTTTAAAAAGAAAACAGAAGACTGGCATTCAATTCATAAATAATTTATGAATAATTAAAAATTCCTCTCTTAATAATTCAGTTAAAATCACAAAAATTGGACCTCTTACCTCAATTGGTTTATGCACAGGCTTCTGTTGAGTTAGTCTGATTCGTCTGATGTCACCTTTAGTCTTGTATTCAATGTCAACCACCATGTCTAAGGTGGCTCGACTGGCTAAGATGCTGTACTTGGTAAGCGCCTCCAAAGTGAGAATGCTGTCCTGAAAATTTGAGGAAAAACAGATCACAACTGATAAATACAAAAGCTTACAAAAAATAATATACATGACAACTTGCACTGGAGTACCTGTGTTGAATGGACGCCCCCTCCGTATCTCTGGTCTTGTGTTAACCAGTTCAGAATAGGTTTTGCATAGGTGGAATCACCTCTGACTAAAGTGTTAAGCAGGACGTAAACGGTTGTTTCCACGGACTTTGCTGTCACATCACTGGGTTTTAATGAATCCTTGCGGAGTTTGGACTCCTGCCAGAAACGGACTGTGGCTGGGTTCTCTGAAAATGTACGGACAAATGGGTCATATTGTGTTAAAATATGAGAGGGTCTAAACTGTGCTGATGTTTTGATCAAAACTGTGTGGAATATCCCAAATGCGATTTTACCATCAACTTGAGCCTGCTTTTTGAGTATTTCATAAAGACCGACTGCAGACATACTATGGATGTCTGCCAGTGTCAGAGCATAAGATGCAATGGCTCTTGCATATAAACTTTCAATCTTCTTTGAGTTAGAGGTGATGTACTGCGCAGCACGATCTATAGCAATTTTAAAGACCTGGAGAGACAAGACAAACACATCTGAATGAATTGCCTGAAGAATCCGACATTTAGGTTTCTGATTGGTTAGATTTTCCTGGCAGTTGTACCTCTAAGTTAACATTTCGGATCTTCATGGCATTTTTAATTCCAATCATGACAAAAGATGTGAGGAAAACTGCCTTTTCAGTGACATCTGCTCCGGCACCCTTAAAGAAACCAGACAATCTTGATCAAAACACTGCAAAATACAGTATTATATCATAAACACTCCTTTTTCATGTACCATGAGTTTATGTGGATTAGTTTGTGATTTTTCAGAGAAGGAGCCATCATCATTCTGACAATTTTTAATCAGCCAGTTGATGGTGTTGGTCAGCACTTCAGGCTCCAAAGAGACGTATTCATGCATGTCAGCAAGAGCCTTGACTATGAGGGCCGTCACCCTAAAAAGGTTTGTACACATGTGCAATGTAACATGTGAATGGTACTTAATCTCTGTGTGCACTGTTATTTCTGTAGTAAGTAAAGCTTAAAAAAAAAGAAAAAAAGCCACACTTCATTCCAGCTACCAGTGAGGAAAACGAAGAAACTGAGCAGTTGATTACCAGGTGCTGGCTGATTTGTCCTTCTTCGACCACATGCTAAAGGCATATTCATGCTTCAGCTTAAATGACATGATGCTGGTGATGCCTAGAAAGGAACAGTGAAGTAACTTAAGAAGCAAAATTACTAGAAGAATAAAAACTGCTTAAGGATTCAACAAGTTTTTTTTTTTTACCCCACTGGCAGATATTTTTCAAGCAAAAACTTAATTTTGATGCATTTCTCAGAAAACAAAGACTTAATATCTTAATTCATTTTGCTTCTTAAGTAAATGTATCTGGATTTAAGAATGTTTAGATATTTGTACGGGAAAACAAGAAGAACATCATTTTTTTTGCAGTGTGGAAAAATATTTTTTAATTATACTGATAATAAATAGTAATTCGTAAGACAAGCAATTACAAAATGTAATTATTATTGGATCAAAATGATCATTAAATTATTTTACTGTTACATAGAAATTGAGTGTACAGGAAATGCTGACATAAAATGAATAATAAATAAAAAAACCTGATAGAATCTGTAAAATCTTAAACGATTCTACAATTCTTATTCTACTCTAATAAAACAAACATCTCACCAGCTTGCATCTTCCTCTTTAATTGCTTTTCACTCGCCGCAGCCTCTTTCCCCAGAATGTCCCATTTCTCTGCTTTTTCTAGGTAGTGGTAGACATAGTAGATTGGCAGGAGAGCCATAAGCTCCATCTCTACATTTCCCCTTGGCAGGTTAGTCAACTGTTTTAAACCTTCTGGGTTATTTATTATTGACAGAAGCTCTCCCAGTACTTCACCTGAACATGAAGAAGGGGTTACTGGGCTTTTGGAACTTCCAGAACAGTCCTTTTTAATCTACACTGTTTATAAAAGTAACATTATTTATAAAAGTGTAATTTAGCATTTGCACAAATGTGCTCAAGCTTCACAGACATCATACCATTAACTGTTAGAATACGATCCACAGTTGACTTGGGCACAATGTTTGGAGGAATTACAGTTTTTAACTCAAGCTTCCGCATGGATGTGCCTAAGAAAGGAAAAAGAAATGGTGTCAGCCTCCATCAGGACAGAGAGCATACTGTTACTTTTCAGACGTCCTTACCAAAGACTCCATTTGGATCAATTCTTCCACCACTTTGTATTTCCTTTCTAATTCCTTCTGGCTGTGAATACCAGAACATTAGGTTATCAGATCATAATCTCAGGCATACTAAACCGATTTATGAAAGCAGAAATATCATGAGAAATCATTCAAAATGTTTGTTATAAAAGTCCTCTAGCACTGACTGTGTATTGCCTCTTACCACCACTTTCAATTTCTTGACCACACTCTCAGTGCCATATTTAGTTTTTAAAGTAAAAGTGAGCGTATGAGTGCTCGCTTCCAAGGCCATGATGTAGAACGTGACGAAGGCCACTGAACGACCTGCTATATTTCCCTTGTTTTCATGTGGCTTTCCATCTTTCCCCTGTTGAGCTCCACGAAACACACACACACCCTCTGTTGCAGTCAGGGTCACACTGAACTATGCGTGTATGTGTGAGATATAGAAAGAAAGATAGAGAGAGAAAGAGAACTGTAATCAATTGATCATGTGGTAGTCACATAAATAAACAGATACACATATTGCTAGGTTTGGAGGTCAGTACGATTTTTTAAATGTTTTTGAAGGAAGTTATTCTCTTATGCTCACCAAGGCTGCATTAATTTGATCAAAAATACAATAAAAAGAGTTATATTGTTAAATATTATAGCAGTTTAAAATAACTGTTTTCTATTTGAATATTTTTTTTTAAATGTCATTTATTCCTGTGATGGCGATGCTAAATGTTCAGCATCATTTCTCCAGTCTTCAGTGTCACATGATCCTTCAGAAAGCATTCTAATATGATGATTTGCTGCTCAAGAAACATTTTAAATCAGTTGAGCTGCTAAATATCCTTGTGGAAACTGAGATACATTTTTCATACATTGAGATACATTGATCAATTTAATGCATCCTTGATAAATAAAATTATTAATTTCTTTAAAAAAAATGTACTGACCCCAAGCTTCTGAGTGTTAGTGTAGATTAGAATGTATAATTTCTATTTAAAGTCGTCCTCCTGATTAAGAACTGAACCTTATACCGGAGTGCTTGAAAAATGCTGATTGTAGACTGAACCTCTGAGCTCAATCTGCTCTCCACGAACCATGGAATAAGGCAAGGGCACATCCACACTAATGTCCTGGGACACCTGAATCTTTTCCTCTGACACACAGATCCCTGACCAAAGGAACAGGAGAATCTGAGATTCTAACCAAAAACACCTTAAACAAAGGTCTGCAACTCTGCATGCACAATACATGGCAATGATTTCCAGAATACACTGGAACATTGGTTATGAACACTGTCGTTGTGAAGCTTATGCATATGGTTGGAAATGCTACTTTATAAACAGTATTTTGTTGTCACATGACCTACTTATGTGGCATGTGGGTTGCATCCTGTTATCATCTTGGAAACAGATTCAGTCAATTTGCATGTTAATTCAATTTTGTTTAAAGGATCTTAACTTCTGTCAGTCCAGTCGAATAATGAGTAAAAGTAGAAAATAAAATAAAACAAAACGTGGCTGTAATTACTTTCGGTTCTTCAATCACAGTAGAAATGTAAGGTCCAGTTGAGCACATACTGGGATACAATATTCTGTTATGTCAGAGATACTTACTATGCTTACTATGTACTTACTATAAACTTACTAGATACTTACTATATAGCCTTAAAGAGATAGTCCATGCAAAAATGAAAAAGAAAGACTTTCTTTCTTCAGTGAAACACACACAAAAAAGATATTTTATAGAATGTTGATAACCAGAATGATGGGAACTAAATAGTTTTGGTTCTGTTTGACTCTTATTATATGGACAAAAAATAAGATTTTGTGTGTGTGTGTGTGTTTCACTGACGAAAGAAAGTCATACAGATTTGCAATGACATGAGGGTAAGTAAATGATGACAGAATTTACATTTTTAAACGGACTATCCATTTATAGGTTTAATGTGCTACTGTAATTTGTAGTTAATTAGTAGATAATTCACATAATAAGTAGATCAGTCACATATTAACATTCACAATAGTTGTTTCAGCCTATCTGATAACAATTTAGATGCATATAATTCCCTTTTCAGCCACCAAGGTGATGCTAAAACAAATAATTTAGGTACAGCTCGTTAACTCACCCTCACTGAATACCCCAACTGCTTTCAGCTCCCATGTAGTCAGTGAGTCTGGAATAATTTTGCTAATGCTTACTGAGCCAGACCTTAAACAGATTTTAAAAATTTTCAGAGAGTAATTTTATGTTGTTGTTGTTGTTTTTTAAATCCGTGAAATAAAGCAATACAATAATAATGTATATTTTGTAAAGAATATTTTTCATAATTCTTATATAAAGATTAGGATTATCGATTAGACAGAAGGGATTATGGTTCAGAACGTTTTCTTACTTGCTGGTGTGTTCCTCCCATAACCAGCTCTCAGGGAAGTAGCTCCTAATCTGAGATGGCATCGCATCCAGCAGAAAGTCGATTGCTGCATTGTATAACAGAGGACTTTAGATCCTGCCTTTAATGTGTTAGTCATCTAAAGTTACTATAGAAGTTCATTATGATAATGATGTATGTAAGAAACACCCATACCTGTGCGACTTAGTATGATATTATCCACATTCTCTAGACGGAGATTCACAGCTTTGCCGCAACAGTCCGAGAATGCTTGCTTGCACCGTGCCTTCTGACGCATATTAAAATGTCTAGATTGTTTTCAGAAAGATGAAATGAAATGTCATATGAAATGATTCACTGGAACACTTTACACAGTGTAAACAAACAGGTCTATAAGTATAATATGTAGTTTACGATCTTATCTCGTTATGAATTATTTTATCATGAAATTAATTACAGTAGCAATATCTAATTATAGGCTCCAGAACAAAATTGCATAGTAAGTAGATATTTATAATGATGTTTATTAATTTATAACGAAAATGTTATTTATTATGAGTAATATGTATTAGTTGTTTATGCAACAATGGCCCTACAAAACAAATAGCAGTAATGCCTAAAATGAAAATCGTTTAGCGAACTATATAATATTAAACTCAGAAAAGATCTTTAAAATATGATTTCATGTAAGAGTAAAATTAAATGGACTTCATTTAAAAGGACTTAAAAATTCCTTACGAAGGATAAGACAATCTCTCTGAACGATGTTTACAGGTTTCAAGCACCGGGCTACTCTCTGTCCCAGAGGAGCAGCAACACTGGTACAACCCATAGTGTTTGGCTATAGAACAAACATGAGGGCAGAAATGTATTTTGATGATGTCGCTATGATAAAAAAGGTTTAGATTATACTGTTTTTCAGACATAAAATGCTTGAAAACAAACCCATTTTTTCAAACTGTTGTGCCAGGTTAATTGAACGCTTTGGCCTAACCAAGTCGGAGCAAACCCCCTCTACAAAAAAAAAAGAGAGCGAGAGAGAGAATGCATTTGCCAATGTTTCAGAAAATTATCATGTGCTGTAGTGAGATGTTTTAATGTAACAAATCACACATAGTAACTTTAAAGTGAGCATGTACCTGCGCTAGAGGTTTTGGCGTTTGCATTGGTGATGAACATAAGGCCGACACGGTCAAACACATCAGCATTATTTTTGCCTCCTCCTCTTCCACAACCCAAGTCACTTCGCTCAACATGTTGTAGCACCTGCGACAATGAGAAACATTTTTATCATGATGTTAACTTGTAGTTCTCATCTTTAAAAGCATAATCCACAATGTTATTGTCATTTCTTCAAAAAACATAATATTTGACTTTATACAACATCTTTTTGAACAAATCTTCTATTTGACCTTTTTTAGAGGGTCCTTGTCATTAGATTTTAGGTTGTACAGGGCCGTATCAACAGCAGAAAAGGCCACCAGTGACTCTTCTCTGCTTTTAGTTGACACTCTTAATTGGAGTTCATCTTTGGGTTTATACTGTGAGTTTGGAGTTGATATGTCTACCTGAAATATATTTAGATGAGCAATGACTTCACAATGTATCAATATCATGATGAAACACTTCACAATTACCGATGGCAGAGAAAAAGGCATTACGTTTAAATTGTTAACACATTTAGCCTTCACATCAATCCACGTGGAGTCTGCCACCAGCTCTGATTTTTCCTCCCCATACAGGACGTAGTACACCACTAGCCGAGCAGACGGCACCATGTCAGGGGTGATCTTAATGTTGAGGTTCTGATTCTTTACACCGCCCCACTTAACTGTGTCAAACTGCACAACCTTTCCTCTGGAAATGATCTGAGAAAAAAATTTGATTGCGTCATAGTAGATGATTCACTGGAACAAATATAGACTGAATTCAGTGCAGCTCCAATTAAACTATAACATAACATATGTGGCATTCAGATGGACTGTGTTAGAGCAGATGTATTAAATTGATAAAAAGAGACAGTAAGTAAGCAATAAGGTACGAGAGGCCGTGCTGTATCGTGAATAAATCACGGTTGAAGGGTGTTGTTAGGCACGACGCGAAGCGGAGTTTTATCAACTATTTTATAAAAATATTTATAATGTTAGAGAAGATTCAAATAAATGCTGTTCTTTTTAACTTTCCACTCATTGAAGATTCCTGGAAAAAATTTTTTATCATGGTTTCCACAAAAGCATTCAGCAGCACAACTGTTTTTAACATTGATAATAATAATAGAAATGTTTCTTGAGCAGTAAATCAGCATATTAGAATGATTTCTAAAAGAACTGTGTGACACTGAAGAGTGGGGTAAATCAGCTTTGCCATCACAGAAATAAATTAATAATTAAAAAAAATATGATAATAGAGGGCAATTATTTTAAATTGTAAAAACATTTCACAATATTATAGTTTTTACTGTATTTTTTTCTCAAATAATTCTAGCCATGGTGCGACTTCTTTTAAAAACCTTGAAAAAATCCTACCAACCCTGAACTTCTGAATGGTAGTGGGTTTACATAACATTGACAGTACAAAGACAAATGACTATTAATAATTATAATGACTATGATGACAAAAAAAATCAGTTTCAAAATAAATATATAGTTCAGACATGAAACTCTAGAAGCCGCAGGATGATGGGGTGTTAACGTAATTGATGATATTCAGAGATTTAAACAACTTGGCACAAGCTGATTGGTTCATGCTGCATATGCAGCCTTTGCACAGGAATGATTACAATTATGCGGAATACCTGCAATCTCGTGCGGACATTCAGACTCTGTAATTGACAGGAGGCGTATGCGTGTCAAACTCACTGTCGGAGAGGAGAGAGAGACGCAGCTTGTGTCTGTGTATATTCGGTAGATATGTGTATATACGTGGCTTTTATTGGTCCGTTTACGTTCGGATATCTTTATTGGCTACTGAAGTGCCATCAAAGGTTTGAATATTAATTCAAATTGTGGGCGTACTCAGTAACGAACTATGATTTAAAAGTAATGAAGTAGATTATTTTGCTTAATTTGTACTTGAGGACAAGTAAAAGTACAGCTTTAAAAATATACTCAGAAAAGTACAAGTACCCGAAAAAACTACTTAAATATATAGTTCAGTCATGAAACTCTAGATGGCGCATTCTGATGGGGTGTTAACGTAACTAATGATATTCAGAGCGTTAAACGACTTGGCACAAGCTGATTGGTCCATGCTGCATATGCAGCCAATGAGCTTACTGCCTTGCATTTATATGGCTGTCTAGCATTCACTCGAGATTCCTGCAGCGCGCTTCAGAGTTTATCTGAAACCCTCCACCTTCCCCAGCTCCACCTGTATAGATCTGCTACGGGTTATTTTATATGCTATTTGTGCAGCAGCAGTATGTCTTAAATACTCACGGCACCGTATCGCCATATGCATTGCCAGTACTTGCTTGCAGCAGCAGCAATAATCTACAACTACAGCAATAACCAACAGCAGCAGCAATTCAGCAGCAGCGTAGCAGATCTGTTCCGCCAAGACCAAATACATTAACATTGTCATATCCATTACCATGCTAAAATCTTCAGAGAGTTGTCATGATTGAAATAGTTTTAGAGAAATATATAATGTGAGCCTCAAAATGATATTTAAAATGTCACATAAGAGAAAATTTAAAAGAGTTTAATAAATACAAAGCTTAACTAAATAACTTGAAATCTGTAGTGACAATAGAGTATAATTCAGATGGTAATAATCCATTTTAGTTCCTCTTTTGTAAGCCAATTTGGATAAAAGTGTCTGCTAAATGCATAAATGTAAACATATTTTACCTGGTAGCTGAAGGTCTTCAGAGAAAGGTAGTCACGAAAATCAAAGTAAACGTTGATGGAAATGTCATGTCCGACTTCAAATACTGAGGATTCAGGCAAATTGATGTACAGGTAACGATGGTTGACAGACACATATGATTCCGCCTTTAGTTTAAGTGGATCCTGAATCCAAGAAGGATCTTCTGTCTCAAACTGAATTGAGTACAATATAAATGAACATTTAGCATATCATATTATTTTGCTTGATAAATAATTACCTGATTAGACTATTGTCTCTATATTTTAACGTACTCCTGTTTATATCACTCAGCTCTTATTTTAAGCATCATTATTCCAGTTTTCAGTGTCACATGATCCTTCAGAAATCATTCTAATATGCTGATTTACTGGTCATGAAACATTTCTTATTATCAATGTTGAAAACAGTTTTGCTGCTTAATATTTTTGTGGAAACTATTATTCGTTTTTACACTCTTCTTTGATTATCAGAAAGTTCAAAAGAATAGCATTTATTTTGAACAATAATTTCTTGTAACAACATAATGAAAATAATACTGACCACAAATGTTTTCGAACCGTACTGTATTTACGTGCAATAAAACAGAAAAAAACATACTTGGCTGAAATCTTCAATTGGAAAGATTCAAAGTTCTTCTCACTGACGTAGTTGGCCTCGGGCAGAATGTGGAGTGAAATACTAGGCAGCACTGAAAAACATAGCTTGATATAAGATATAATGGAAACTGAATGTCTACATAACACTTTTTTTTTAAACAACGGTATTCTTACCATATTCTTTGACCTCAAACTCAGCAGTGGCAGTGGTTTCAAAAGTGTCTGCATAGGTGGCCAAAATCTTCCAGATTCCATAACTAATGAGATTTACATTGTGAATAAAATGATACAGAGACAAAAAAAGTAATGAATAGACCTGCATTCAACATTCTTCTTTAATAGCTTCACCAGCAAGACTTTAATTTCTCAGCAAAGTTCACCTGGTTGACAAGAACTAACCAGGGCTGCGTTTCCCAAAAGCTTCGTAAGCCTAAGAAATTTGTAAAAACGATCGCACGACTGATCTTAATATTACGGTCTGTTTCCAAAAGCATCGTAACTTAAGTAGCCTAGCACTTGAAAATCATCGTAGATCTACGAGTGCTCTGGAGTAATCGTAAAGCCATAAGTGCATCGTAAGAAGACAGATTTATGCGGTAACCTGCAGGACAATCGGCAGATTACACCTTTAACTTTATTCAAGTGCGATGTGATTATAATATAAAGTTTTGATTGTACTTTATTGTACACTTTATTACTTGTTTTTTTAATTTTTATTTTTTTATTAATTTATAAATGAAATAATTAAAAAGGGCAGAAAAAATTGAAATGCACATCTAAATTAAATGACTGAAGAAAAAAAAATATAAAAGAAATAATGTAGGAATATATTCTTCAAAGACTGGGGGGAAAAATCTGTCAATGACTTGCTGAATTTCACGAAACCAGCAATGTATTGGACCCGGAAAGTGTATTATATATTATTATGTAAAATATATAATATAATATAATATAATATTGGATTATAGTTATTATATCCTAGTTGTCTGGAACGCAGCATTAGGTTAACATTTCAATAAAAGAGTGTTTACTACAATTACGAGCCATTCTATAAGGTGACATTCCAGCACTTGACAAACGGATAGCGACTCCTAAGTAGCACTTAAAGCACGGCTACGTGCGATTTTTGGCAAACGCACGTGAAACAATAACGAATGATCGTAAAACGACGAGTCATTTTACGATCGTTCGTTACGCCCCATTCACACGGGGCGTCAGCGTTAACGCTTGACGGTGGGCGTTTCTGAAGCTTGCTGCTGACGACCGTCATAGTGACAGCAGCCAATCACATTAGTCTTCTGGTGTTGCATGAACGCGATTGGCTAGCGTCTGCGCTAGGGTATTTGAGTAAGGCGATCTGATTGGCTGACGCCTGCGTTGGCGCTTGAAAAGTTGAACAGTTTTCAACTTCTGCTGCGAGCAATGGACCCAACGCGACGGACCCACAATTCATTTCGCCAATGCTTGACGTCACTCCATTCAAAGTAAACAAGAGGCATTGATGCTGACGCCCTGTGTGAATGGGGCATTATTGTTTCACGTGTTTCCCAAAAATGCACTTAACGCAATCGCACGTAGCCGTGCTTTAAAGGGATAGTTCAACCAAAAACCTTACCCCCAGGGCATCCAAGATGTAGGTGACTTAGTTTCTTCAGTAGAACACAAACGAAGATTTTTTAACTCAAACCGTATCAGTCTGTCATTCATATAATGGCCGTCAATAGGCTCCACGGCTTTGAGAGTAAAAAAAAACATACACAGACAAAACCAAATTAAACCCTGCGGCTTGTGGCGATACATTGAGGTCTTAAGACACGAAACGATTGGTCTGTGCAAGAAACTGAACAGTATTTATATAATTTTTTAATCTCTGATCCACCGCAATGTCCAACTGTCCTGAGCGCATTCACAACATCCGGCAGGTGACCCGTGTACGTGCTCTTGCAAAGTAGAAATAGATATTTATAAGTAGATGCCTCATTAGTGACTGTTTCTATGGGCCGCGATACGTTCCAAAATGGCGCACGCGTCAACGTATTTGGAGCCGTCGAATAGGGCATCTATACATGTTATAAGTAGATGCCTCATTAGTGACTGTTTCTATGGGCCGCGATACGTTCCAAAATGGTGCACGCGTCAACGTATTTGGAGCCGTCGAATAGGGCATCTATACATATCTATGATAGTAGACTCATGTGCGGAAGCAATCTGGCGCACCTCGCGCGTATACATCACTCATTAGTTACACAGTGCAGAGAGATTATGGACGTGTTCACTGGCACTGCGATGATCTAAAGAAATTTAGAAGTACAGGTCATCACAATGGAAGACGATTCTGGTATATCATCAGACAATGTGGAATTTTTTGCCCAACCGTATTTATTTGACGTCATGATGTGAATGCGTTCAGGACAGTTGGACATTGCGGTGGATCAGAGGTAAAACATTATATAAATACTGTTCAGTTTCTTGCACAGACCGAACATTTCATGTCTTAAGACCTCAATGTATCGCCACGAGCCGCAGGGTTTAATTTGGTTTTGTTTGTGTATGTTTTTTTTTACTCTCAAAGCCGTGGAGCCTATTGACGGCCATTATATGAATGACAGACTGATACGGTTTGAGTTAAAAAATCTTCGTTTGTGTTCTACTGAAGAAACTAAGTCACCTACATCTTGGATGCCCTGGGGGTAAGCAGATAAACATCAAATTTTCATTTTTGGGTGAACTATCCCTTTAAGTGCTACTTAGGAGTCGCTATCAGTTTGTCAAGTGCTGAAATGTCACCTTATAGAATGGTTCGTAATTGTAGTACACGCTCGTTTATTGAAATGTTAACCTAATGCTGCGTTCCAGACAACTCGGATATAATAACAATTACATTATATTACATTACATTACATTATATTATATTATATTAATTATATTATATTATATTATATTACATTTATACATATAATATTATACTTTACATAATAATATGCAATATACTTTATACAAAAATATATTTTATACGATATAATATCTATACGATGCTTTTGGAAACAGACCGTAATATTAAGATCAGTCGTGCGATCGTTTTTACGAATTTCTTAGGCTTACGAAGCTTTTGGGAAACGCAGTCCAGTATGATCCAGACTGGACAGCCATAGAAATTCACAAGCAAGCTGGTCTTCAGTGTCACTATTATTCCTAATAAGCATTTAAACATCAGATCAAATAGGCTAGACTGTGTGTCTTACATGGGCTTTAAAGGTATTTTGAAAGGTGGAAGAAGTGGTTTTGCTCCATTGATGTCTGTCATATCAATAATCTCTACTTTGATACCATTAGGGTCCTAAAAGGAAGTTAAAACATCAACAAGGTTATCACATATAGAAATCATAATTCATGTGAGGTATGAGGCTATGAAGAGAGATACTCACCACGAATGTAAGGGTGACGGTTCGTCTAGATTTCCTCAGCTCCTCGTTGAGGGAGTAAACTCGCACTTGTACTAAGAAAACAAACAGATTGAAAGGATTGTTTTGAGGTGAATCTCTCTTTGTTTACCCACTCCATCTTTATACATAAATTCGCGCTCTTACACACGGCATATTTTTTATCATACTGACCCTCTTGTTCGGGTGTGTATAACGGCTTGTCAGTCTGGATAAAGAGAAAACCGTTAACAGTAGTGACTGGGATTTTTTCATGTGCAGTGAAAGCAGAGGAAATCGCCTGAAGGTAGACATAATTGTCCTCTTTAGGGAAATCTGTCGGCATTATCTGGGAAACAGAAAAAAATAGCATTTTCAGAACATATTCATGAACAACATCAAATAGGGCAAAACTTTTCACATGTTTTGTAACTGTAAATACCACCTTTAATAAAAAAATTAATAAAAAAAAAGACAAAATAATACAAATAGGCAGCCCCACCCGTAAAGTAGCCGATGCTTGATAGTTATTCGCAGCGTTGAGCTTCAGGGACTGAGATGCATATTCTTTATAACTTGGTGCTAGTGTGTTCTTTAGCTTAAGAGCTACTGTAATTTCCTTGTCATAACCGAACAACTCCACCACCACCTTTTCCGAAGCATCGAGTCGCAGCAGTTTAGGTGCAGTGATTAAGTATCTGTAAAACAAAACAGATACTTGTGTATGTGGGTCGCTTTCAGAGCTTGGCAGATGCTAAAAACCAAACAATTTAAAATATAAATGCCTCATTTCAGACAAACATGAAGGATTACTCACAGTCTTTTTTCAAGAGTGTACGGATGATTAGGTTCAGTTAAAAAAATTTTGTTTTGCAGTTCTGCTTTTTGATAATACAGACCAGTAGGCTGTGTTCAGTAGAACATTTTAAATGGTGTAAAATGCAACTTACACACTTCCCTGGACAGTGATGCAGACGAAAAGATGAAGTATACAGAGCAAAAATAAACGTGCCATCATAGACGGTTTGCTTCTTGAAAAACAGGCCAGGCATTTGTTTTGTCAGCCAAATCAATAGCCTATCTGTTTTGCTTGCTTTAAGTTACTTATTAGCTCGACTGTCTTGAAACAGGTCCCAAAAATGTTTTTGAGGATTAGTTTTCGTAAGAATAGCTATAGTCTAAATATGATGACTGCGAAATACATCAGTCATAAAGATTAGTTTAACTGTTTGTGTGTAAAAGTTTAACGTTTGATTATGAAATGCTTCTATCATCATTGTACAGTTTGCTTAGTCATTTTGCAAGTCACAAAAGCAAAGCTCAGATCTATTTACAACTAAAAGGGGATTTCATGGAGATGTTTTTTTTTTCCATGGGTTGTTTTATTATTGTGCAATTCTAGTAACATTTGGACATCAACCCGAACCTTGACTTTTGTCATTGATTTACTGAATTGAGTAAAATGTACACATTTAAACAGAAACCCACAATGGCAAGATGTTGAAAAGCCCTCATTGCGGGTTCTCAGAGAAGACAACATGGATATTTTGTGTCATTAACTGTACCAAATAAGGTAAATAAGTGATGGCAACATATATTACTTAAACAAGTACTACTTACTCATCAAATAATTTAACCAATTTCAACTTTAATTTTTAAGTTATTCAAGATTCAACAAGACACAATTTGTAAAAAAAAATGATTTGAAATGACTTGTACAGCCAATATGATTATAGTTTCTAAGTTGAATTAGGTGGACATTTCTACAGACATTTACATTTTTAGGTCTGTTCACAGCCCTGCTTAGATGAATTATCATAGCAAAAAAGTGACAAAAATATGAGATTGTTTGTTAATTATTTATTGAGCATACAAGTGAATACCCAAATAATTTTATATAAGCAAACATAGTATACATAATATAATAGAACCAAGTTTTGTAATAATACTTTAAGCTTTACATACATACACAGATAAAGTGACTATTCCATGTTTTAGGAAGTAAATCTTCAAATCATATGTACATTCCTTTACATACTTCATATTGTTCATTCACAATAAACATGCTTTGAGACCCACTGCTCTGATTGGGCTGCAGTGACACAAATCAGTCACTAAGTGGTGCTTGATCCCAGTGGATCCTTCATAGTGGCTAAAGTGAATGGGGTGATGTGGCTTTATCCTTAGTGGAATGGGACAAAACAATAGTATTTCATGCAAATATGAATAAAAGATACACTGACTACTGATCAACTTAAATGATAGTGTTTGATCAGATATAATGTGGCAGATATCCACCGTAAAAAAAGAGCCATCATTGTGTGAAAAGTAGTTCTGGCAATGAATTCAACATGAACATACGAAACAGCCCTTCCATTGCCATCGTTTTCACTTCAGTGCTGTCATAACTGAGTTCTGCAGGCGTCGTTCATCATATCTGACCACTTTTTCACCTTTAAGGAACCGTACAGCATCCGCTAAAGGTGAGAGTACTCAGGGCGGGCTTGGCATAGACAGACTTCTATGAGCCAGCCGCACTGAAGAACAGCCTGTGAGTCTGCAAACATCTTAGACGCTTCATGTATTCTCATAGCACCATGGTGGTAATGTGATGCAACAGTGAGGTCGGGTGAGAAACCTGTGCCAGTTGAGGTGGTGGAGGAGGGGGCGAGTGCGCCTGCAGCCCTACTACAGGCCCTGTGCTGGTTGGCCGGTGCCTGGCGCTCTTCTGGTGCGCCCGCAGCCCTGCCAACTGGGAATACGCGCTCTGGCAGACGTGGCACTTGTAGGGGCGCTCGCCTGTGTGGAGGCGCACATGGTTACGGAGGGTGGAGGACTGGCTGAAGCGGCGGTTGCAGAAACGGCAGACGAAAGGCTTGTCCAGAGTGTGTATACGCATGTGAGAGCGCAGGTTACTGCGGGAGTTGAAGCCGCGGTGGCAGATGACGCAGCGCATGCGGCAGGCGGTGGAGAGCGCTGTAGTGGAGGAGGTGTCGCACAGGTTGAATTCATCTGTGGAGAGAGGAGAGAGCTTGGTCAGCAGACAGAAGGGTCAGGGACTTCAAACAGATGCTAATGGGAGTTTTAACTAAGGCTATTGTAGCGCTGTGATAAAGATCAGCCTGAAACACACCCAAAGCCCTGAAGTGACTGAATTACTCACCATTTTTTTTATTCTTCTGCTGTTCATCCTCTATGCCAGGGACTCCTGGGATACCCAGGAAGGTGTTGTGGGAATTTCCATACCACACAAGCAGTTCCTGATCTGGAGGTATTGTCTGATAATGGAAAAAAAACCCCAACAACATATAAATATAAATGCATATATAAAATATTAAAAAACTTTTCAATTTGGAACTAAAATCAAAGTTTATTTACTTAAGTAAATAGATTATAAATAAAAAATACATATTTAAATAATAGATATTTTATAGAAATAATAGATTAATTAACTACCAAATTATAACTATCTATCTATCTATCTATCTATCTATCTATCTATCTATCTATCTATCAATCGATCTATCTATATTTTAGTATTTCAACTTACTTTAATGCTGCCTTACAATTTGAACAAAAATCAAAGAGTTTAATTACTTAAGAAAATCTAGTTGAATCTCTAAAAAAAAGAGAAATAATAAAAATGTAAATTTAGTTTAATTAATATAAACGATGTTAAATCAGTGGAATAATATTGTATTATGCAAGTACAACGACATGGAAATTCTAAATATAAAAATGATATATATTTTAATTATGACAACTTCAAGAGGTATAAAAAACGAACCTCCACTGCTTTGTAAAATATGCTGCTTCCTATCTGCACGACCTCCAGGTTCTGTTCTTGCTCGTTGCGAGCGCATTTGATGTAAGTCATCCAGCTGCGATGATCCTCTTGGCTGGCATCGATGAAATAGCGCACCGTGCCATCTTCGTTGAAAACCTGAGAACATCAAAAACGCTTGCCATGAGTCTCTGACTTTTACGAGGATAAACTCCAAAAAACGAGCCTATAAATGCGACACCTGTTGAACGTAGCTTACCTCCCACATGAGATTGTTGTTCTTGAAGAGATCCACATGCTCGGGTGAAATGACCCTCCCTGTGAAGGGACCCATCTCAGTGCCAGCTTTTATCCAGGTCTTGGAGAAGATGCCAAGTCCTTCTCCAGGAATTGAGCTCTGCGCAATGATGACTTCACTTGGCAGCACTAAACTGGAGAGTTTCTGGACCTCTGGAGGTAGAACGTAGCAAATAAAGCAGAAGGTTAATTTGGAACATTTAGTTTAAATAATAAAATCAGGAAACGAATACGGTAAAAAAAAAACTTGAAATGACGCAAACTATTTGCAAGCACATTTATATCAAAAGAAAAAAAAAGAAGGAAATTAGTTATAGTGTAAATTTGGAACAAAATGCTTTAAATAGTCTTTTATATTGTAAACTATTATATTTTATTCAAGGCCCATATAAAGGAACGCGCAACGTGTCCATCAGTAAGACACAAATAAATGTCAAACGCGTCTTTACGTTTAAGAATTCAGCAATTTTCTACGCTTTAAATGTGACGAGGCTATATATTCATAGGCAAGAAATAGCTTATTCCGTATTCATTATCCTTTCAGAAACTTTGTAGCATTAAATGTGTGCTGAAAGAAACGAGAACTTTCTTTAAACGGCCCAGGAATTTCTGACAAAACGCAGAAAGGGAGATTAGCTGCTTGACATGGTGTGAATAGCGGTAGAATCAGCTTTCACGGCATATTAACATCGGGACGGAAAACTTTAAATGCGCCTGAGAGGAGAGAAAAGTGTCAAAGCGGGGGAGTGGAGACTGTCCCGAGCTGATGAATGACGGGCTTTTCTCTGTCTAACGTCCTGGCTTCACTGGCAACTTTCTCAGGTCAAGCACAACGTTACGCTCATGATTTTAATAGCCTTATTTAAATAAGTTTCACTTTGTCAGTAAGTGACTGTAGGCTTTGCAACGCTTAAATCTCGATTTTATGATATGCATTTAGAATAATTGTTAATTTCGCATATATTCTTGTGCGATATATTTAATGACTTTTAAAGGGTTTTCTTTTTTTGAAGGAATTTCTGCCACTAATCTTTCTGTTGAAGTTCGTCTTGAGCAACCCAAATTGTCTTTCGGCCCACAGGCACATTAAGCTAACCATTAAATGTCCTACAGACGTTTTAAACAAAACAGTAAAAACATTATTAGCTTCCAATGTGTAAATAATGTATAGGAAAGCAACACAAATGAGACTTGTCGATAAACATCCCAGAACTTGAGCAACTGTTGACATCTCCAGGTGAAGGCGCAAGCGGCTAATCGAGTATATCAGTCAGATATCAGAAAACAAGAACCAAGGCATATAAGTAACTATCGTGATGTAGAAAAAGTGGCCTTTTGTGTCTTTAACTTTGACCGATATATTTTCTTCCTGAGTGGAACCGAAGTTCTTAATTTTGAACTACAGCATTCATCATTAGATCAATAATTATATGAATTCATTATTCATTTATTACAAATATTGTACAATTAATTATAGGCAATTACTGCGTAATTTCCCATCTAATGGCACCTGTGACTGAACACAAGCACAAACATTACGTTTCTGTTCTTTTCTATTAATGTTAAATGTCCAGAACTCAGTAATCATATCGAAATTAAATTCGCATAAACAATCTGAATAGGCTTTAATGATGTGCTTTGGAGTACGAAAATTTGCAAAGCCGTCTGGGTCAAGTATATCTTTTATTCAATCTTTTTCAGGCCGAAGTAATTTAATATTCATGGATGTTAATTTAAAGTCTTTTAGTATTGTGTGAGGTGTATATGGGCTTTTTTTCTGAATAGCCCCTTGCCTTTCCCCCTCTTTCTCCAGGGTTGATGGACTGAGACAGAATGGGCAGTTTCCCCCCTTTCCAACAGGGAGGACATCTTTATTCCTTCCCCGGCTTGCGGGTTTCCTATTCAGCTCTCTTCAAAATAATGCCAGCTGAATGAATAGTGCTGCAAATCAATCTTTCATGGTGTTTTTGAGGGCAATTTGACATCCATGCACTCTTCTTTTCTTTGAGATAAGTACAAGGGGATTGCCCGAAAAAAATCTGGACAAGGATGGGGTCTGGCGAGTGGGGAACTTCCAAAGGGAGATGCGAGGAGAGCGCTGAGGAGAATATAGGTGAGTGATAGGGCAAGAAAAAAGATTAGGACTCAACAGCTGCTTTTGGGGGGCTACCCTCCCTCCTGTCTTTTCTTTTTCTTCAGGGGTTTCACCCTCCCTGCTGAATTGGATTTGCACAAGTACAGATTGATTTGTTTTTATTGCACTATACTGGTTTCATAAATAAGAGCAAACTTAGCCTGCATGGGGTGAGAGATGCAGTCATGTTTTTCTCTTTTTAGAAATACTCTGGGGTTTTGCGATTAATATCGTGATGGAACTGACAGATCATATCTCAAGCATTTTAATTAAACCATATTATCATCTGAGGAAATGTAAGTTTGGTATAACGTGCAATGACACTGGCATGCGATTTGAACTTTCTTTAGCATGAATTGATTATTTGGAGGATATGACTGTATAGATCAACATGCGTTTCTATACGTCGATAAGGACAGTTTCCCCAAAGTGATTTTAAACTTATGAAGATAAAAAGCGAATATTCGTTAGTTTGGAAAAATGTTATGACTAATGTAAAAGCTGCATGCATAGCTTATCAAGTGGCGACAGAGCTTGTACAGCATGCGATGATAATTAACAGACGGCAAATCAATGTTCTATGAAATAATCAGATGCTGAGAATGGCGTGGAAATAATTGTGAGTTCAATAACAGGGTGATAAAGAAACTTGCTGCTGCGCGTAATGCCTTTTGCATTCATGGCCTTCGTCTGTCCCGCGCGTCTCGGTTGCACAAAGCTGCAAGCTGTTCCGCGGTGCTTTTATCACAACAGAAAGGAGACAAAAATCCCACAATAATGGAGATTTGCAAATGTTTTTCTATTGATTTGACTCAATGAACACTGGATTTTTAGGGCAAGGAATAAGAGAGGACTTGGGCTGGAAAGCTGAATTGGGAGCGTGGAGGAGAGAAATGGTTTTTATATGGCTGGATAAAATTTAATTAGCGTAGTACAGCTCTTGAAGGACAATAGAGGACTCAATATGTACCCAATCTGAATCTCATTGGGGATCCAGACCGCAGAAAGTCAAAAGAACTGGAGAGAGAAAAGCAAGCTTTGAGAAAGGGAAGGAGCGAGGCAGACGGCAGGTGACTGGCACGCGTAAAAACAAGAGGGACACTTTTGGCACACTGCTGATTATTTGAAAGAGAGAGAAGACAAAACAAAAATAGAGGTTTCTTCAGGTTTGGCCCACTTAGACCAGCTGAGACTAGGGAGTGAATAGACAACAGAGACCAGAGGGGGTCTGGAAAGCAAACAGAAAACGCGAACAAGCCGAGTCACATCACACAAGTGCTTATGGGAATGTGCCCAAATGGTGGAAGAAAACCGTGGCCAAGAGCAGATATCACGCGAGTATTATGTATATTCATCGTCTGTGTTCGTACAGTGCAAATCAAAGCTCTTATTGAGCTATGGATATTGCAGGAGCACGTGCGCAATTTCCATGGAGAGATTTAAGGGACCAAAGCATCTGGCTCGCTGCCGCTAATATAGATTGACGCTTGGATGAAGAGGAAAATGTTTCTGTTTATCTAAGACATTAGTAAACGCCTGTTTTGTGTCCAGAACTGTGGCGTACTAATTAGGCTTTTTGGTCATCCAAATGGCTTAATGTTTCAAATATCGACAATATAATGATTTTATTTGTTTCTTAAAAATTATTAATTTAGAAAGAAAAATAAGCACTACCTGTTTCACAGTCCCATAAATAAAGTATTGACAAACGTCTGTGTGATTTCACAAGCAGCAAGCAAAGAAAAAGTGTTTTAATGCGTGGCTCTTCAAATTGCGTGTAGGAATTGAAAGAGTGCGTTGCACTGGGAATATTATTTTCCCTTTCAGATTTGAGTTGACATTATGTTATAGACTAGTGTGAAACTTGCGTCAGATTGTATTATCACTCAGTTAATCGTTTGGTGTTTAAATAATTTGGAATTAACTAGACACACAAGACGTTAATGACAACTCAGACGTTAGTGTAACCAACATCGACACAATTTGACTATGTACTATATATGTTTTAAATGAATAGACATTTAAAAACTAAACGTTAATACAGTTAGTTAAAATAGTTAATATTTTTTCAGATAGACAGTAAATGCATATTAACTGGGAGAGAGGAAGTGAATTGATGCTGGGTAACAGAGTACCACAGGTGACAGACAGATGGCAGAAATGCTTTATTATTATTATTATTATTAATTATCGAAATTACAATATTTATCTTATTATTCATTATTACAGTGCATTGTCAGGCTAGCAGAATATACCCGAAGCTCTTCCCTGTGTCTTAAGATTTCTTGATCTAAATATGATTCTATAGTGGCAAGCACATGCTGTATGTATCTACATAGATGATTACTTTTATTATTTTACAGAGAATACATTTAGGACAGATCCAGGTGAAATAAATTCTTACATTTTAACAGAGACAGTACGTGCCAATTGAAAACCAATGATTTAATAGCTTTTCACTAATTAATATTGAAAGCCTATAGGCACCTTCCAAAAATCCTTGATATTTTTTATTCATGATACAGTGTACCGGTATAGCTCCAATGATCAGCCAATCAGCATGCTCTAAATGTTCACAGACAGTGATTTGCTGTTAATGATGGCAGTTTCTTTCAGCTTTAGTAATTGTATTATTAGTTGACTCATCTCTGTGTTCAATACAGACTGATTATTCTATAAAGTGGCTGTGAACTGCGGAATGAAGTGTTGTATGGGGACATTTGCCCTGGTATTATCTTTTCTCTAAAGTAGATTACAAAATATAAACAATCAATGAAGTGTGGATTCTTCCGAGTAGATTTTAAAAGCTTATCAGTAATGGGAATAAAGACCGGAATGACCTGAAAAGGAGCAGAATTTGAAAACTGCTGCTGACAGAGGAAGTGGGAGATAGAGACAGGTCTCCCGGTGGGTGGAGACCACAATATGCACCAACAGCGGATTTGGCAAATCAGTGTGACACAGTTCATAGTGTGAGCAACCAGCAAAGCCTGTAGCTCTGCTGTTTCTATGGTCTG